GCGGGGCAACTTGGCGAGACCTCATCTCTACAACAAATCAAAAAATTAGCCAGGCGTGGTAGCGCGCGCCTGTAGTTCCAGCTACTCGGAAGTCTGAGGCGGAAGGATCGCCGGAGCCCAGCAGGTGAAGTTGCAGTGGCCGGGAGCAGCCACTGCACTCCAGTCTGAGCCAGAGAGTGAGACTCCAACTCAAAAAAAAGTTTTTGCAGAAGTTGTACCCTGGCTCTCCTCTGTCAGCCCAGAAAACTAAGACATGGGTATAGTTCTTTATCTCTAGCTTTTCTAGTCATCTTTTTTTTTTTTACCTGTTACGCCAACCTTTGCTTCAAGCCACAATCCCAATTGATATGTCCTCACACAGTTGAGAGGGAAGTCTTGGAGATACTGTACCAGAGGGTGGGTATGTGAGGAGTGGAGACAATGAATTGAGGACCAATGCCAATGCATCTCTGTCTCCTACCTTTCGGGCCCTTATCCTGACTGTGCTGTACATCTGCTTCCATCTGAGAATGGCCAATGATCCTGGCTAGGAGAGTGGGCTCATTGAGGGCAGGGCACAGGGTGAGTCTGCTGGAGGGGAGATGACCGCTGCTTGCTCCTCTGTCCCCAGCTCTTGGAGCAGTCAGAGTGGCAGCCGACAAATGTGGATGGGAAGGGATACCTGCTCAATGAACCTGGGACCCAGCCCACCTCTGTCTATGGAGACTTCAACTGCAAGGAGGAGCCAGAAGTTGACAGTCCTGGGGGTAAGAAGCCCCTGGATTCTTCTTAGAGAAGGGTGAAACATGTGGGGATGGGGATGGCTTGAGGGCAGGGCCAGCATTGAGGGGTAAAGCATGCTTAAACTCCTCTGGGGTACAGACTACTTGTGAGTTAGGCCCTGGGGTTTGCCTAAAGGTGAATGCATGCTTGCTGCTGTGGTATGAAGAGAAGAGGCTGTGTCTGTGGCCTTCAGGGATAGGGCTGTAGGGGGTGAGAGGGGTACACCTTACGTCCCCATCCCCCATCTTCATACAGCCTTCTTCACATCTTCTAGGGGATATTGTGAGCCTACACCGCGTCTTCACAGATCTGAAGAACATGGACACCAGCTGGCTGGACAATCTGCTGCCCCCAGTCAGGCTGCCCTCCATCCAAGCCATTCCTTGTGCGCCGTAGCCGGGCGCCTGTCCCCTCTTAATTCCCTAAGCGAGTAGGACCTGGCATCATGATGGCTGTGGTGCAGAGAAGCTGGACTCTTGTGGGCCCCTCAACATAGCCAAGTGTGACCCTTCCCCTGCCCCCTGCCAAATGGGGATGGAGCCTCCCTCCTTGGGTCAGCGGCCGCTCAGGGCCTATCAGGTCAGGGTCTGGGCTCATCTTGTGGGATAAAGCTGACCTTGCCTCTTGGGAAGATGAGGTTCTGAGACTGGTGCGTCAAGTAAGCCTCTAACTCTTCCTTCTGAGCCCAGCTGCCTGGAGAAGGTCTCCCTGTCACTGGCTGGCCCTGAGGGGAACAAACAGACCAGTGACCTCAGAAAAGCATAGCACCAATCCCAGGGCTGGCTCTGCACTAAGAGACAATTGCACTAAGTGAATCTTGTTCCCAAAGAACCACCTCCCTTCCCAGCTGAGCCCTGGGGACTGTTCCAAAGCCAGTGAAATGTGAAAGAAAAAATGGGGTCCTGTGGGGAGGGACCCCCTCAGACCCAGAGGAGCTCTGCCCTGCTCCCTGCTTTGGCTGAGGGGCTTGGGAAAAAACATGGCACTTTTTCTTGTGGACCTTCCCACATTTCTGATCCGAAGTGTACACTAACATTTCCCCTAAGCTCTTGGGCTTTGAATTTATTTATATCGTGCCTTGTCGGCACCCACCACCCCCTCAAGCCCCAGCAGTCCTTAGCAGGCCCAGGGAGGGAAGTGTGAGTGCCTTGGTGTGACTTTCAAAATTGGAAACGCCATCTAACCACTAAGTCGCGTGACTGTGTATGAACATGTTTGTAAATATGTACATTTGTCTTTTTATAAAAAGTTTATAAGGAGTGTGGCCTTTTATTCAGAGAGGAAATGTACATGATTTTACTTTTTATGGAACCAGAAGTTGACAGCCCCAGGGGTAAGAAGCCCCTGGATTCTTCTTAGAAAAGGGAGAAATGGGGTGGGGAAGGCTTGAAGGCAGGACCAGGGAGCAGTGAGGGGTAAAACTCTAATGGACTCATTGTTGGCATCCTTCCTGATCTTGACATGTAGTTCTCATAAAATCCTCTCATTTGTGTTCATGGAGAAGATAGCAGGAGGAGGGGATAGTCATGTCAAAGGGACCTACCCATGTAAACATAGTCACTTGCCCTTGACTTTATAGTTGATTCTGGGTTCCTAGGGCCTAAGGTTCTGAGTTCTTCCAAGGAATGTGCCATAGCCTATGTATCCTGGCTGAACACGCAGGTACTACTCCAAAAAGTTAACAATGGGTATGACAGTCACATGTAATCGGATCAGACACCAGCCCAAGAAAGGGCCTCACAGAGTTGTGCTGTGCATACTTGCCACGCAGTTTCTATGGTGATGGAAACGTTCTCTCTGCACTGTTCAATGTGGTAGGCACTGGCACTAGCCACAGGTGCAATTGAGCACTTGAAATGTGGCCAGTACAATGGAGGAACTGAATGTTTTGTTTCTTGTTTGAGTTGGAGTCTCACTCCATCGTCCAGGCTGGAGTGCAGCTCACTGCCATCCCAGCGTCAACCTGCTGGGCTCCAGTGATCCTTCCGTCTCAGCCTTCCAAGTAGCCAGAACTATAGACGTGCACTATCATGCCCAGCTAATTTTTGATTTATTGTAAAGATGAGGTCTCGCCAAGTTGCCAGGGCCGGTCTCGAACCCGCAGGCTCAGGCAATCCTCTCGCCTCGGCCTCCCAAAGTGCTCAGATTACAGGCTGAGCCACTGAGCTTGGCCATGGAAATGAATTTTAAATTTTATGTAATAAAATTTAAATAGCCACATGTGGCCAGCGGTTACCAATATATTGGACAGTGCAGGTGGATACAGGATTTGGGGTAGATGTGAGGGAGAGGCACTTAAGTGGCTGGAGGACATGGGACAGGGCTTCAGGCTGTTTACATGCTATCTCAAGAGTATTTCACTTTTTTTTTTTTGAGTTGGAGTCTCACTCTCACCCAGACTGGAGTGCAGCGGCCGCTCCCGGTCACCGCAGCCTCAACCTGCTGGGCTCTGGCGATCCTTCTGCCTCAGCCTTCCGAGTAGCTGAAACTACAAGCGCGCACTACCACACCTGGCTCACTTTGATTTATTGTAGAGATGAGGTCTTGCCAAGTTGCCCAGGCGGGTCTCGAACCCGCGGTCTCAGGCAATCCACTCACCTCAGCTCTCAAAGGCGCGGGATTACAGGCTGAGCCACCGAGCCCAGCTGCATTTTACTATTTTAACAGCCAGTGGTAACTATTCGTGCTGAATGACCGCACTGCAGTGTACTGAGAGATGGACCCGTGCACAGATGTGTTAGGAAAGCTTTGGCTGACCTCACACAAAGCAGGTTTCTTTCCTCCACATCTTTTCAGGATTCTGACTGGGCTAATGTGTACAATGTCTATGAAGGGGTATAGTTGATCAGAAGAGTGTTTCTGAAGACCACAGTTTGGGAACCACTGATACAGGACAATGTCCCCTTCAGATAAGGCCCAAGTCACAGGAATGTCTGAAGGTGGAAGTTCTGGATATGGGCTTTCCCCGTCTTCCTCTCCAGTGTCTTGCCCTGGGGCATAAACAGTAACCAGCAGAAGGTAGACTGGCCAAGTGAAGCTGGTTGGCATCACCAGCACTATCCAGGGAATGGGGTTATGGCAGTAACAGCATTGCTCAGGGAAACAAAAGCTCTATGGACACTTACTTCATATTCTCAGCTCAAGAAATCATGTGGCCTTGTGACCCCCAGTCACTGGGCCCAGCCCACTGGCAGGAGTGTGGACCCTTGGGAAGAGAAGGCTGACTGAGAAATTGATGAGAGGCCTGGAAAATGGGCAGAGGTCAGCCTGACACGTTCATTCTCTGCCAAGCTCAGGAAATACTGGTCCCTGATCTCAGAGATTCTGTGTGAGTGGCAGGTGGACTCCTGCTAGGTGGATATTCTGTATGTGGATGTTTGGACAGGCCCCATCTCAGGCCCTGCACATCAGAAGGATCCACTTGGAGTTTTCAAGAGTAGCCTCACCTGGGGGCAGAGGGATGGACAAGATGGCCTTTTCCACCTCCTCCAGGGTTCAGTCCTTACTAAGAAGATTCGGATTAAGGTGGCTTGTCTTCTGTAGCTTCCATCTGGCATCTTCTGGATGGCTTTTCTAGTTAATGATGGTGGGCGGAGGTGTGAAGCAAGGTAGAGTGGACTGAGGAGTGACAAGAGAGCAGGGATGCAACCCAGAACACAGAGCTTGATTCTCCTGTCTATCAACTCAATCCCTGATGGAGAGTAGGCAGTGAGTATGCTGAAGTTCCAGGCAGCTGTGGAAATCTCCCAAGTTCTAATGAGCAAAGCTCACTGTCAGTGGATTACCAAAGCATGAGAAGAATTACCGTCTACCAGCTCCCAGTCTCCAGAACCAAGATGGAATCCTGACCTGTTCCGTCTCTTCTGATCCCAGGAGACCTAAACGATTGAGACCAACTCCTTGGAATGTCCACGGAGGGACCTCAAATCTCCCCTCATACCCCACTGCAAGGGAACTGAGTCTTAGGGACCAAGCCTGGAGGAGTAGTGTGGGATAGTGCCAGACCTTCCAGGACCTTTGCATCCCACCATGGACCTCAGCCTTTTCCTAGGAAAATAAAGTCTGACTGCTTGCCTAAAGGCGTTAGCAGCTAACACTAACTAGCCAAACAATGCTTGAAATGGAGCAATATCAATATGATTTGAACCACATTTGAGTGCAATAATTTAAGATTGTTCCAAGGACCTGCCAATGCTTCTGTGGGTCATTCCCAAGAATTTTAGCCTAAGAACTAATGGGGGAAGCTCTGGGTTGAGGAAGTTAGGAGGTCATTGAAAAGATCTGTTTGGTTGGGGTTGTGATGACATCATTGTCATCTGATAGGGTAAACTGGCAAAGTGGGGCTCAGCCACACCAGCTAGACCTCCCATGTTGGGCTAAACTTACAGATGTTAAAGGTCATTTCTGGTTACTCAAGGTTTCCTTGCTTTAAGCTAAAGGTGTCACTTTAATTGGGCTGGCTTACTCATTCAGCTCACTTAGAAAGCCAGAGGCCAATATGCAAACCATTCCTTTTTGGTGTGTCAGCTTTCAACATCTCCCAATGTACTGTGTGCAGGGTTTCATGACCATCACGACTCCAAAGATGAGACTTTTCTCTGATCTCTCTGGAAGTCTTCAGTGGGGCCCACCAAAGACACAACTGAAGTCCTGGGGCAAGCCCTGGGCCTGGTTGAAGGTGGAGTCCTCTTCTCTGGAAGTGATGCCCCTTGGTTGAGGAGACTGGGTCAGGCCTAGGCTGTCTATTCTCTGGCAACCTTTATTTGGTCTTCTCTTATACTATTTGCACAGATCCAAAAATCAGTCCTTGTTTGGGGGGAAGGTACAGGTTTCCTCCAGGCAGTCCTGTTTGAACACTCAGGGTTAACATCATGACCCCACAGGAAGGTTTCACCTCTGTCAGATGTAATGCTATTTCTTAACTTGGGCATGACTAACCCTCCATGCTGAGTGTTAGGGTACAGACAGACTGGGTGAGGGTGGAGAGGCGAGGCAGGAGGCACGCAGCACTGCCAGGGCTGGCAAGCCGGAGGTGCGCGCTGGCAACCCGGCAACCCAGATATCCGAGTAGATGCAAAGAATTGCAACACACGAAAAGGTTAAGAAAAGTTTATTTAAAAGTAAATTAGAAAGAGAAGGAAGAGTGAAGATTCACCTCCCCAAGGTGGGGGAGGGGGACCAAAGCCAGGAAGCATGGCGACAGCCATGGCTCAAAGAGCACATGGCCACGCCATACTCTAGCAAGGCAATGGCCCCCGGATGCTTGTGGTTGAGTCCTTTTAACCATTCCCCTTGATGGGGGAAGATCATTAGGGTGATTGGGTGATGGTCTGCTTCCACGTCATCAAAAAGGGGCAGGCAAGCGCAGGTACTGATGATGTCAGATGATGGACAGCAGGCCGATGGGTGGGTTAGTCACATGATTGCTGCCATGGTGGGGCTTATCTGTGTCACAGAGTTCACAGAGGGCTGATTAGGTTAACCTGAGGGGGATTTCCTATAAGAGACTTGTTAGACATTTGCAATTCACAGATTCCTTGACCAAAGGTGGGGTGGTCTTTGGGTTGTCCTGGTCTTGTATCTGAAGGAGATTTACCTAGGGGGGATGGGATAGACTGCTGTTTGTCCTGCAGTAGAATGTCTGAATGCTTGCTAATCGTTACACTGAGGCAAAAAAACTAAGAATAAGCTAAGTTTCTTCTAGGTTTCTATAGGTACCTTTCACTGAGGTTATGTGAAATTCATCAGAGCTCAGTACTAACCTTTCCCCACTTCTGCCAACTGTCACGGAGGCAGGGGCTCTGGGGTGGAATGTCACAGAGGCAGGGGGCCTAGGGAGCCGATGCACTCCTTTTCCAGGGTGAAAGTACTTGACATGTAGGATGTTGGCTTTATCAGCAGAACTGGAGAAGACCTTGAAGTTCAGCTGGATAATGACAGCATAGGCCTCGAGTGCTCACTTGGTGCTGGGCCTCGTGCCAAGGATCCTATATGCACCATCACGATAGCACCTCACCACGGCCCTCGTTCACAGACCAGGAAACCAATGCTCACCAGATGTAAGGGACCTGCCTAACTTGACTCAACTAATCAGTATGGAGCCTGAATTACAACCCACAACTGTCTGTGCCCAGAGCCCAGCTTAGTCCCACAGCATCAGGCTACCTGCAGAGGAGAAAACTGAGGCCTAGGAAGGCAGTTTGGGAGAACTGGCAAGGGACAGGGCACGAGCAACCCATGCCAAGAAAGTACTTGGAAA